CGATGGCCAGGATTAGGGGAGTTAACCAACACGGCGTCGTTTGGTTTAAGTAGGGGGGTCGGTGCGAACTGGGCAACGGGTCGGGTTCAGGGAATGGGTAAGGAAGATGTGATTTGAGCCGTTGGATCAATGTAGATGAACGGCGCAGATCAACTCGCCTAAACGACGTCATTTCAACTTAGCAGGGGCTGCACTGGACCGTCTGATTGAAACAAATCCACGGCTCAGATTTAGGCGCCGAAACGGCATCGTTTGATGCATCTGAGGGGTCAGGCGATTGGACTGGATCAATGCAATGGATTGGGCCTGATTTTCAATTGAATTTTTGGCCCAAATCCGGTATTTTCTTTCCTTATAATTAAACAAAAATTCCTAAAAACCAAAATTAAACTACACAAATATTAATTAACACCTAACAAAAATTATCACACGAATTAAAACATTTAATAAAATTACCATGACAACAAATAGAATAAAATGCATATTTTTTGTGATTTTCGCTTTTAAAACCAAATTATGGTTAATTAATTCCTAAATGCATGCAACATGTATTTTTGTATTTTTAACTATAGCAAGGCGAGCATTTACGGACAGAACAATTATCAAAATGTCACGCGAATTCTCAAAATTTTACCCGAAGGTAACTTATTTTATTTCTTTTTCGATTTCTTTTGGAGTAGTTTCCGTGAAGCAAAAATCACGTGCTCACAGGAGCCACAGTCTATTGCATGCTCTAGTGTTGCGTCTCCCTTTTAAGAACATTGTCGATTGGGATAACCCTCTCTGGCTTTGTTGAATAAGCTTTGTCCTCAGTTTCAGAATATTTCTTCGTTGGATTGTGAGTCATGTTGATATGCAAAATACCATCGCATCTCGTTAAGTCCAAGGGTTAATAAACAAGTTGAGTCAGTTTTTGAGTTATTCATTATGATGTTTGGGGACCATGTCCCGTTGTTTCCAAAATTGGGCATAAGTATTTTGTCACCTTTGTAGATGATTTTTCTCGAATGACTTGGATTTACTTTATGAAGAGCCGCTCTGAAGTGTTTACTCACTTTTCTGCCTTCTGTGCTGAAATCAAAACTCAATTTAATGCTTCGGTGCTGAAATCAAAACTCAATTTAACACTTAGGTGTGTATTCTAAGGATGATAATGCTAAAGAATACATGTCAGAGTTATTTTAGTCGTACATGAGACAACATGGTATTCTACATCAATCTTCATGTGTTGATACACCCTATTGCCTGTCATTTGAAGAAATCCTTATATGGCTTGAAGCGGAGTCCTCAGGCTTGGTTTGGTAAATTTAGTGAAGCAATTCAAGAATTTGGGCTGAAAAAGAGCAAATGTGATCATTCTGTCTTCTACAAGCAATCAACAACTGGATCTATTCTCCTTGTTGTATATGTGGATGACATTGTTATCACAGGAAGTGATTATGCAGGAATCTCTTCTCTCAAGTCTTTCTTGCATACTAAGTTTCATACAAAAGACTTGGGACAACTGAAATACTTCTAGGGAGTAGAAATAACAAGAAGCAAGAAGGGAATTTTTCTATCTCAGAGAAAGTATATTCTTGACTTACTAGCAAAAACTGGTAAGCTGACTGCCAAGCCTTGCAGTACTCCAATGGTTCCTAATTTGCATCTTATGAAAGATGATGACGATCCATTTAATGATCTAGATAGATACAGGAGGTTTAGTTGGGAGATTAAACTATATCACTGTGACTCGTCCAGATATTGCTTTTGCAGTGAGTATGGTTAGCCAGTTCATACTCATGCCTACAGTTAAACATTGGGAGGCTTTGGAGCAGATCCTATGTTACTTAAAAAGAGCTTCTGGACTTGACATATTATACAGCAATCACGGTCATTCTCGCATTGAATGTTGCAGATGCAGATTGGGCTAGATCCAAGATTGATAGAAGATCTACTACTGGTTACTGTGTATTTGTTGGTGAAAACTTGGTATCATGGAGAAGTAAGAAATAAAATATTGTATCTAAGTCCAGTGCAGAATCCGAGTATAGATCTATGGCACAATCAACATGTGAGCTAATGTGGATACATCACCTTTTAACTGAAATTGGGTTGAAGCATCCTACTCCATTAAAACTCTGGTGTGATAATCAAGTTGCACTCCATATTGCCTCAAATACAGTGTATCATGAAAGAACCAAACATATTGAAGTTGACTGTCATTTTATTCGTGAGAAGATTCAGGAGAACTTGATTTCCACTGGCTACGTGAAGACAAGAGAGCAGCTAGCTGATTTGTTCACTAAAGCATTGAATGGCACTCGAGTTGATTACCTTTGTAACAAACTGGGCATGATCAATATATATGCTCCAGCTTGATGGAGAGTGTTACAGAATGAACCTAGACACTTTACACAATGAACATAAATTGTTTTTGGTAGTGTACATAACCCATATATAGATAACAGATTTGTAGGAATCTTTTTTATTTTCTTTCCTTAGTTAGTACCTGATGTACATGTATATATATGTATCACTACGTGGAATAATACACCAAATTTGATTCTTTCATACCTTGTTAATTACAAGGACAAATTGCACAGCTTGCAAAATTCCACAATTTATAAGAATAATGCTTGCCTAGTTTCTAGGCACGATTCATAATAAACTCAATTTATATTTGTTATCACCTTCTAGTATACAAATTTTACTTGAATCAACAATGATATACTCAAGAAAATAAATACAAGGAACATCTCCATATACATTGCTATCATTTCTAAAATGAGACTTATAGTATACAACGAAGCAGTTAGCTGAAATTACTGGTTCCCCGAGGTGAAACTGCTCTCCAGCTCAAGCTTCTCCAACAACGTTAGGTCAATATTTAACTATGTTGCGCGAACTCTCCAAAACAGCTGCCGAATCGGTGTTGAATCCTTCAAAAATTCACTATTTTTGGAGGATCCGACACACACCCATTAATATTTTCGGAGAGTCCAAGCAATATAGATATTTAACGTAAATTCTTTAATGCAACACTTTGATAATGACTTGCTGCTCAGCCGGCAACTGAATGATGCAAGCCTGGACAATTTCTTATTCTCTATCATCTGCTAAAACTTTAGTCCAGATGATTGAGTTCTTGTATGATGGTATGAAGTAACAGAAATTAGTGTATCATTCTAATATACATCTTAAAGAGTATATCATCATTTGGATATTGTGAGAGCTAACTGAAGTTTATCAAGCTGACAAAGTCTGAGTGGGTTTTTGTATACTGTCACTGCTGCTGAATTATTGGGCAATAATACAGCATGGGCAACACTAAAAGATTCACCTTTCTTAACTGCAAACTGCCATTCCCTCAAGCTAATTGAAACCAATCCTTTCCCATCATTCTAGTTGCCTTTCTTCTATGTATTCGTCATCTCCCACAACAAGGTCATAGGGAAGCCCCGTTTCGTTGGTTCCAAGCCTGACAGTTTCCCATTGAGCATCAGTTGTGCCTACATACAGCTGATCTCTTTCTGTCACATCAGATGAACTATAATTCACGTCTTGTGGTTCAGTCATGGGATGAGAAGAATCGAATGCCTCCTTCATAGTAATAGGTACGAGCACATTACATAGATGATCAGCATCTTGTGAACCTACTACAACTGCATCTGCTGCTGGACCGTTGTCCGCATTCTCCACACAAGTCATCTCAGTTGGAGGCAGCTCGCGTATTTTGATTACAATTTCTTCCACTGTCTCCTCTTTAGATTGTATGCCACGCGCTGCCTCTGACTTCGCAACACACACACTAGAGCGTCGAAAACCAGGAGCACTTTTCCAGTCCGTAGGTGGCCAGTTTGAGATGATTCCTGGTCTCTTCTTGATTTTCACAGGGTTTTTCTCATCAATTGTTCTAGAAGAGCTCATCATCCCTGTCTCACTATCTGCTGACAATGGAACAATTGCAAGTGACCAAACAGATTCTCCTGCAGGAAGCTTAGGCATTTTCTGGCTATTCAAAATGAAAAACTCAGTTTGCTCCTCATTGGAACCTGATTCTGCCATAGTTGTGATCATATGAAGAAAGTTTGCCAAGTGCAAGTCGGGAGTTCCAGAAGAAAACAGACGAGAAATCTCCATGAATATTGAGTGAGAATCTGATTCTTGAGTGGCATACAAGATGTTTCCCTGTCAAAGAGTAAAAAAAAACAAATTATCTATACATACTTTTGTTTTTATGAGGAATAAGATTTCAACTAATAAAGATTTGGGCAGAACTACAAGTAGACATCCGAAAAGTAAGTGTTATCTACACATTCTTAATAATGTTAGATTTCCATGAACAACTGGGAAAGGGAAAACCCATATCTAACAAACATGCATTGTAAGTTTATGAAATATTCAGACTAAAAAGATCCGGAAATTGAAAGGGAAGAAAAGCAAAAAACACAAACGAGACAATAGACATAACTCAAGATTTGTACATCACTATGTAGAAGTGCTACGGTCTTGGTCTACATAGGAGTGGTCTTACATATTTATTCAATCTGATTATCTGACCATTAGATAATCCTTTTTCATAAGAGTTCAATGAGGTTTCAAATAACACATGGCTTTTCCAAAAACATCTCATGTATGTAACACAATATGGATATAAGAACCCATATATGCTGTCATGATTAGAATACCTCTAGAAGACAATTGCATTCAAACCGTTTCTTCGATGCTATGTGAGAGCTTTTTTATAACATTCCTGTAGAACAACTTTTCTACAACAACAATCTGTAGGTATTTCAAGATGTGAAATCCAGACCGGCTGAGCTGCAAATACTTGTCTGGATGAACACTATAAATATAGCGTTGAGCATATGGAAGAGCCCAGTTGACCACTGAAGCTACAAAGCTAGAGTCTGTTGCACCATCAAATATTGCTTCACGAGTTACAACCTGCAAAAGAACAAATACTAAATGATTCAAATTGACCTCAAAGTCGTGTTCTCTAAGTCTGTCCCAATTTCAGGGTCTTAATATGACTAGGCACAGGTATTAAGGCGAGAGTGAAGTTTTATCGTAATTAAGCAAGTACTGGTCAAAAAATTGGAGAAAACTTTAACTTTTCGGAAAGTTTAACTTTCTTTGATGAATAAGTTGGATGAATGATACCTTTTTTTTTTTTTTTTTGGCCCCCAGGGCCTAGCTCAAGTGGCAAAGGGTAGCGGATTTGTGTCTTAGGTCACAGGTTCAAGCCCCTACACCATGCAAAGCAAAGCCTGGTATTTAAGAGGAGAAGGGTAGAGGGGCGGGCCAATTATCCACCGAATTTCGAAGACTGCGGTTGGTACAAAGGATCGGCCCCAGATGTATTTTTGGTCATCAAAAAAAATGATGTACCTTTTTTTTTGTGTAAGATACTAAGAAAGTATAGAATTGTATGAAAGTGGACATCAACTGGAGTAATCCAAAACAGTATAGCTATAGTATAGAAAATGTGGGACAAAGGAAGTAAACATCAATATCTGCATACTGTGTCATGAACATGAGGAAAGCAGAGAACATTTGTTTGTTAGGTGTGTCTTTGCTCAGAACATATGGAGCAAAATTGGATGCTGGATGAAACAGGATTATAGAGTGACAACAACCTGGGAGCAACACTTACAATGGATTCTACAGAATGCCAAAGAGAGAACTCAGAGGGCAAAAATATTTCGGATGGTCTATGCAGAAGTCTCACATGCCATCTGTATAGAAAGGAATATGTTGTTTGACTAACAAAGAATAACATGTTGTTTATTTTGATGATCTTTGTTTGACTAGAGAAAACTCTGTGACACTGAGCTGGAAAAGAAAGGAAAAAGTGTTCATCGTGTGTGGTTCACTCTTCTTATGCACTCTCTCCCAACTAACTTGTCCTTGTTGTTACTCCTCTGTTTTAATGTGATGGTCTTTCTATTTTGGGACATCCCAAAATATTTGACATCACTCCACCAATGGAGTGCATTATATATATATATATATATATATATATATATATATATATATATATATATATATATATATATATATATATATATATATATATATATATATATTGGGAGGGTTTTACTGAAAAAAATTCATAATCGAGTTTGAGAACTTACAGATATTTTATACTTTTTCTTTTTCTTTCCAAAGGAGATGGTCTTACTGAAATTGGTGTGATTCAGACGTTTTTTGGATAAGTGGTGTGATTCACAAGTAATCTAGCACACGATGGATAAATTTAAGCAAAACTAATTTAGGAACTAGATAACATGACGTAGATATAGGAGAGCCTAGTGGGCATCTTAGATCTGTCTCTTTCAAAACAGCAACTCTTTCTCCTGTATGCAAAGGGATGGCGGTGTAACTTAGCTTATCTCTGATAGAGAACACCTGTTTAGTTAAGTGTTCAAACATGTATTTTGGACAAGTTTAACGGAGTCTTTATGTATTTTGCCCAATAAAAATTGGAAACTACAGTAATAGCTCAACAATAGAGCAATTTTAGTAGCGTTGAGCATCTTACATGCTCCAATTTTTTTAAATGTACTTGATGTCACTCCTCCTTTTTACAGCTACACCCCGTAAGAGCGTAAAAGAGTTTTTCCATTTAAAGGACAATCGGAACGAGATTTAACTATTAATTATTCAGAGTCGCCACTTGAGAGATTAATGGTGTCCCAAGTCACCGATTGAATCCCGAACCGAGGAAATTTATGACTCTGTTAACAGTCCGCGAACTAGAAATCCCAGTAAGGAATTCTGTTAACCCGGGAGAAGGTGTTAGGCATTCTCGAGTTCCGTGGTTCTAGCACGGTCGCTTAATTGTCGTATTTGATTTTATCTAATTTTAATACATGCTAGTTTATATGCCTTTTATTCGTAACCCGCTTTTATTATTATTTATTTTAAAAGAGTTACGACGTAGTGAAAACGCGTTTCGAACCACGTCACAATCAATGCACCCGTGATTGTCAACACATTTTGACTTTGTCGAGATCTAGATTTGGGTCGCATCAATGCGCACCCGTGTTTAGGAAGGTAATTTTATTAAGAGCGTGTCTAAAGCAACTATGTGTTCGCACTTTGCGAGGGCCATGGAATTTGCTAAATGGCACACCTCGAGTTCTAAGGATAAACAAGATCAATTAAACAAGAGCCATGCAACTTGAGATTTCATTCGGCACGGCGCACCCCGAACTATTAAATCGAATTAACCGAAAACGAACAAAGACCTATATTTGTTAACTAAAAAAAACACTCAAGTCTACAATGGGAAACTAACAGAATGAAGGCTAAAGATTTTTAATGGAAAGGCCTAATCTCGATGCAAGGCCCAACAGATAATCCTTAAGGCTTAGCGTACTGGTCCGCATGACCAAAGTCTGCAATTCATTTCAAGCAGACCCGCGGTCCATTTGAATTCACGATTTCCCAAGAGCTTAAGCCAAGATGAAATCTGAAACTAAATACAATTAGCAATATCTGACTCGCATCCCATTCCTAACACGGATGTTAACATAATAATTCCTCTCTTAGATGTAAGGACAAACTTTTATTCAGTTCACTCATTCAAACACCCCAGCCCCTGCGGAATCATAACTTTCAGTACATGGGAGCATATCATCAAATACCAATTCATACTAGTTATTCGGATCAAATCAGGCAAAACGACTTTAGAGAGCACGACAAGCAACATGACTCATGCACTTTAAATAGCAAGCATTGTGTCACCACACTCCCAAACCCAAATTCAGTGATTACAAACCAATTGCATTTCTGCACGCAGGCTAATGATGACCCTAAACTATAACAGAAGCCTTCAATTTATCCATATGCACATGAGAACACCAGGTTCATTACCTCTTTTTGCAAAATAAGGTAAACAGAACTCTGCACCCAATTAAGACCAAACAGAGAGAACTTAACCAACATCAAGAAAAATCTATGAACGAGAACTGAAGCTTAAGCTAAACCCGAACATCCTGACTCGTGGCTGTAAACTAAAGGAAATGATCGATTAATTCCAATTCATTCTAAACCAAGAGTTGCAACATATCTTAAAAGAATCTAGCAAAAACCATTTCGTCACATTTCAGCACTGTAAGGCATGTAAAAGCAATATCATGGATTTCTGGACAATGTGAACAATGACTAATTAACCTATTATTGTATAGACCCGCATGACCTACAGGTTAGCATCTCAGAGAACTCGAATGCCAAGGGAAGAATTCCAACAGATGACTGACAACAGTTTCAAAGTCAATCGTAAGAGCTTAAGTTTCAAAAGCTTCAACAGTTTCAAAAGTAAGCAGCTGAAGGGAAGCGCACATAGACAGACAAAATGATTTAGGCATTTCTAGCAGACTTCTCGTGAGATCCTATTCCGACAGAAACTAATATCAGCTCAAATGCAACGTTTATATTCATACTGTCATGTTCAAAACCAAGCAAACCTATGATTCATCTTCCAAATTTAACAAGGCAGGAGTGATTTCCCATTGTCAAACTGACCGAGTTATAACAACTATTTGGAATCGACGAAATCTGGACTCAAATGAAAACTCGATAACATAATAATAGTTAAACCATATAAGCGGAAAATGACCTCTCAAAATCGACTTCAACTAGCTAAAAATACTCAAATACATCACACTGTCACGAACAGATTTAGTCAGCAAGGAATTCGATCATAGCACAAATAGAGCACTCGAGACAGAAACACATAGTTCAAGATAATGAAGCGGAATAGAATCGCAAGAACTGAGAGGTGAAGGATGAACCTGAAATTTAGAATTTCTTTTAATAACAAAATCGAAGTCGATTACACAGTTTCGACTCCAAAAACTATCACAAGAACACGATGGCAGATCAAAGCTCGAAGAATAGCAAATCAGTAGCAGTTGAGTAGAAGTACGAGGTTTGAACAACGACGAACTCAACAATTCTCAACCGAGCTCCATTTTAAAACCAAAACCCAGACTGGAATGAAAATTAAACTAGCTTCACCACTAACTGTTCCTCTCCGGTTTTGACAGGGAAAAGAAAAATTCAAACTACTTTCTTTTTTGTATATTTTATAGAATGGAACTAAGCTAAAATTAACCATAGAGAAGAAGAAGAAAGACTATCTTTTAACCTCAGTCTTCTTCTCCAAAATTCTTCCCTCCTCAAAGAATCAGATTCAATCCTTTTATGAAACGAACCCCGGATGAATGTAGGGCTCGGATTGAATGAAATCAATCCGATGCCTCACATTCATCCAACGTATCATCTCTAGGACCTTCCAATCGCGTGCTTCCTCTCAAAATCGAGCGAGTGAACAGAAGCAAATCTTGGCATCAGAAAATCTGTTAGCAACAACAAGAGGATAGGTAGAGGGACGCGTGGGTTGTGGATTTGAGGCTCACTCGCCATGGATTTGCCGATTTATTGGGACAAATTTGAAGCCTAACTTGCGTGTTCTTCAGAGACGAAGAACAGTCGCGGAGGGGTGGGTTTCTGGGATTAGGGGTCCGTGGCTTTGACTGGATTTCATGTGGGTATATGGGCAGGTCGGGTCATGGGCAAGGAGGGTGATTTGGGCTAGGGTAGGGATGGGTGTTGATTTTGGGCTGGGATCCGTTTGGGCTGGGGTTTTTAAGAACGGATTTGGCCCAGATTTTGGGTCCTTTATTAAGACCATATTTCTACTTATATATTTTTTATTTTCCTCTTTTATTTCCTTTTTCTCATTTTTAAAATATTTTATAATTTTTTCTAATTTTTGTAAAGATGTAAAACTAACATGAAATCCTAATTATTTCAAAACAAAGATTAATTAATTCCTAAAATTATTTAAAAAAAATTATTTCATGACAAATGCAAAAGTGAACTAGTTTTGTGATTTTTCATGTTTTGTTCTAAACAAATTAACCCTTAATTGATACTAAAATATAAAATTAAA